CTAATTTGTTTCTCTCTTCTTTTCTATTTTTTATTTCTATACTTTCTTCTATTTTCTTATTTATTTCTTCTTCACCTTATTTTAACTCGACCTCCTTATTTTTTTTTCTTCACTATTTAATTCTTTTACCAATTTTTCCAGATTTGTTTCTTCTTTTCCATTTTTATCCTCTTCTGTCTTCCCTTCCATTTTCATGTATTTTCTTTATTATGTTATTTAGACTTCTCCATATCTGCCTTTCTTCATTTCTAGCAGAATCATCATATTTCAATTAATGTAAGAAATAATCAAGATTGCGAATGTAAAACTATGCAGAAAAGAGTGTTTTAAACTGTGGTTGTAGAGTAAAATATTTATCTCTCAGACACAAAGATAAAACATCTAAATTGATGTCAAATATTCATTTAATACTAAATCTGCAGGATGTGAATATTTTTTAATATACCTACAGCTGAGTGTAATTTTTACTCATAATTCAATGTTATTCCCAACAAACCACCCATTCTTTGTTAGAGGAAATGGCATTTATATCGCGTGTGATAGAATATGTCAACTCATCTGCCCTACTTCCTTTAAACACCGATAAGAAGCAACAAACCCACATTCCCTTATCAAATGTACACTTACCCTTAATCTTGACTTGCCGGGATTGTTAAACAACCCTTATAACGTGCTCTTAAATAAATATTTGAGTCATAAAAAAACAGCAAAATTATAATAAATAAATTGAAATTATTGTCAAATTACCACAAAAATTTGCTGCCAAGTTTTTGGATTATTGGTAATAACTAAACCATTTATTATTACTGACCATCTATGTATTGATATACAGGGTGTTTAGTGAATTATTTTTTTTTATAATTGTATAGAATTCTATTAAATAAATCAATTTTTCAAGTAACTTTCTTAAATTCAGAGATATACTTTTAAGTTTTAAGTACGGGTCTGTTTTGTGTTTTTTATTTTAATAAAAGGCCCATGGATTTAAAAAAAAATTGAATCTCATGGTTGGGGGGGGGGGGGGGTTGGTTGACTCGTACGTTCAGTAGACTACAAAATGTTTTGATTTTACTTGTAATAATAAATATCCATCATAATTTGACATACCTAATCTACAATTTGATTTTTATGGAAGAAAATATTAGAAAAGTGAAGCATGTTTCATTATTTACGAATGAACTTTTAAATCATCATATTAAAATACTGTCCAATACTACATAGGTGACATAGGTAACTGAAATGATGCCTAAAGTATAAAGTCTAAAGTATAGTAAAGAGGAAGATTGTGTAAAATATAATAGGGATCTTTTAAGATGTATCACCTCATGGAGACTGCAACAAAACTAAAAAGAAACATTAGTAATTAAAATTTAAAAAACAAGAACTACATAGATGGTTGAGTCACTTTAGGGAGCACTTATGAAATGGTAAACAATGGGAACCAAGAAATAGACATATAAACATAGAAAAATGCTAAAAAGATATAATAATAATAATCATTTATTCATTAAAATAGTACCTATAAAACACATTTGATATAGAAAAAAAAAAAGAGAAATGAATAAATTGGCTCACGTTAAGTGACTTAACACTTATTACGCAATATAAAGTAGATATACTGTATATAATACCTAACATACATAATATACATACATACATATAATAATACTAATAATACTAATAATACTAATAATACTAATAATACTAATAATACTAATAATACTAATAATACTAATAATACTAATAATACTAATAATACTAATAATACTAATAATACTAATAATACTAACAATACAATACTAATAATACTAATAATACTAAAAAAATAAGGAAAGAAAGAGAAATGGATCATACCATCGAATTGTCTGATATAAATATTACTTGATAAATTATAATACGAAAACATCAATCCTTCATAAATAGTGAGTACTTTTTAGGTTTTATTTTCCATTAGATCTGAAATATATTTTCTTGGGGTATTGAAAGTAAATATTTTTAAATATTTCTTGAACAAATGGAAAGTAACCTTGGATTGCACTTCCTCTGGTAAGTGATTATATATCTTAGGCCCTAGATATGAAAAAGACCTTTGAGCTAAAGATCTTTCCACCAAGGGTACAGTATGGTTTAATCTATTCCGGGTTAGGTAAGTATGAGATGGTATTGTAGCTGTGAGTCTAGTAGGGTAATATTTTAGATTGGTGGAAACAAAGTACACTTGTCTTATATCTAATATTTTGCTTTCTTCGTAAAGTATATCTGATGAGTATCTAAAATTTTTATTTATTATTAATTTAAAACATCTGCGTTGTATTATTTCTAGGTTATTAATGTGCCTATGCAGAGCACTACCTTATGCTACAATACCATAACGTATATGACTTTCTACAAGAGAATAGTATAAAGTTCGAAGTTGTTCTAGGGGAAAATGTTTTTTAAAAATTTAAATTTATAGAGAATAATTTGTAGCTTTTTAATTGTATAATTTATGTGACAATCCCATTTTAAATGTCTATCAATATACACGCCAAGATACTTATATTCTTCTTCAGATAAAATATTATACAATTTTTCATTGCTAGTGATCTTTAAACTTTGAAATTCTGGTAATGAACCTGCATTGCAACTGATGGGTGAGTATTTTGGTTTTTCTAGATTTAGCGCCATTATGAGCCTAAGAATTGTTTAATAGAAGCGAAATCATTTTCAGCAACTATTTTTAGTATTTAGTATTCCAGTCTTGTCTCTCATAAAATATTACTGTTATCAGCAAATCCAATTATTTCACCGCAGTTTTGTATTGAAAAGCGTCCGTTTATATATGAATTAAAAAGTATAGGCCCAAGAACAGTACCCTGAGGAACACCATACTCTAGTATTTCAGAGTTACTCGTTTTATTAGCAACTCTAACAATCTGCCTTCTATTTGTGAGGTAGCTTTTAAACATTTTTTGGCTGTTTCCTCTTATTCCCATATCTTTAAGAGACTGTAAGAGTAGCTCATGACTTACAGTATCAAAAGCTTTTGTAAGATCCATAAATACACACATACATTGCCTACCTTCATTTAGAGCTTTGTATATTTTTTCTACTAACGCTAGGATGGCATCTTCTGTTGAAGTATTTTCTCTAAAACCATACTGTTTTGGAGACAATATTTTGTACTTAGACATATATGAAGTGAGTCTAATTTTTATTATCTTTTCAAAGATCTTAGATATATGAGTTGTCAAAGATACTTGTCGGTAGTTATTAACTAAAGTTTTATCGCCTTTTTTGTAGATCGGTGTTACAATTGTTTCTTCTAAAGTATCAGGAAATACACCTTTTTGAAAGCATATATTTATAATGTGTTTGAGTAGGTCCGCAATTTCTTTTGAAATTTGTTTTAGGATTTCTGCTTGTATTTCGTCGGTTCCTACTGCTTTTTTATTTTTTAACTCAGCGATAACTTTAATGATTTTGTTTTCTTCAGCAGGAGACATCATATAATTCACTGGTGGTTGCTTTTGATCTTGGTAGTAAGTTTTTGTAATTTTTTCGGCCAGATTCTTTCCCATTTTGATAAATTGTTGATTAAATTCATTACATATATCTTTTGGATTTGTTAGGTGTTTTCCTTCAATATCAATTATTTTACTAATTTTTTCATTTTTCTTGTTCTTACCTGTTAATTTGTTTACAATTTCCCACATTTTTTAAGAATCACCAGAATTCGTTTTGATTTGTTTTTTATAGAATTCAAACTTGTTTTGAAATGTGATTTATAAAACTATTACGGTATCTTTTATACTGATTTTTTAGAATTTCATTGCCGGGATTATTTAAAGTTTCTTTAAAAATTCTGTTTTTAGTATTAAAAGACTGTAAAACACAGTTTGTTAGCCAAGGGGATAATTTAGTATTTTTTCGTTTAATTTTTTTAGTTATTGTACTTTGTTTTTAAGCGTCCATAAGAATTTTAATAAAAGTCTTTGTTGCACGTTTGAACCCGACGGTCTGTAGCAACCAGTTATATTTATTTTATTTTGACGATTCAAATTTACAATAATTTGTAGAAAATTAAAATTTTGCATTTTTACTATTTGATGTATGTAATCTTATAATGTACCTTTATGTAAATAAATAGATATATTATTATTATTATTATTATTATTATTATTATTATATTATATGTGGACAATAAATGTATTATTTATTATTATTATTATATAATTCTACCCTATTTGTTGATTTTAAAAATATATTAATTAATATAGCGAAATATGTAAAATTTCATAGCCATTATGGATTTAAACGGCATAAACATGTAACTTTTATAAAAACAATTGAGGTGAATTGAACAACAAATTTAGTAACATTGATCAAAGAAAGAATGAACATTCATTACAAAATTATGTACCCTCTAATAAAGTCTTTTAAATTATTTATTACCTACTTCAAAAATGTTTATGTTGTAGTGTGTTCACCTAATGACAAAAAACAATTTTTCCCAAAACAAAAAACATCCTCTTCCGTCCTCCCTTCTGGAAATCGCACCAAATTTAAAAGTCCTCAGAGTCCTGATCCTGCGAGTCGAGTCCTTTAATTATTATGCAAACACAGCGCCGACTAAGATCCACCTTAATGAACCGTCGAGCTCGCTCTCTTCCAAGCGCCCAACGTTCGTTTTCCTTGTTTAAGGGGTTGCTCCACTTCTCCCTACCCCTACTACCGAGACTCCCCACTCGTAGAGGGTGGTGGAAACCACGTTAGGCTAGGTTAGGTCAACCCTCGTGTGTTAAGCAATTTCTTAGTAGTATGCCACTGACTGTTTATAGATGTAGTTGTTACTCGAGACTTACAGACACTTGTTAGATTTACGATAAATTTGTAGATTGCGAAGTTTTTTTTTTATTATAATTTTATGGTGGCTCTAAAGTGCGGTGTTAATGATTGTGATGATGATAGACTGGACTAGTGCGTGATTTATTTTTTTTTGTATTCTCGCTCCAGTTGACATGCCGCTGCTTCAAGAAAATACCCCGAAACGAGGTAAAAATTATAATAAAATATGTTTTACATTATTTGAAATAAAGTTTTTGGTTTACGTATTTATTCAATTTAAACTAGATACAATCATTATACATGTTATGAAAGTACCTATAGTGTGTCTACTTAAGTTGAAACCATATGGAAAACGTTTTATGTATCTGTATCTGTAACGTGTGGAGGGTGGGTTACCGCCACAACACTTAGGCCTCACTAGGTCCATTGTACATCCTCCTAAGATGATAGACACTTCCTAGCTCGTGAGCCAGCTTACAGATTTTACCTACTCTTTAAAAAACGTTCTGTTTGGTTTAAAAGCCATAATGACGTCATCAGAAATCAAAATTTATTAGTCATATATAGGGTATGGCACAAAATATAAATTTGTTGTCAGAATAAACTACCTTTATTTTTGATAATATCGAAAAAAGTTATGAAAAATTAACAACCACATTTAAATATTATGATTTTTCCAATCGTAATTCAAATAAATTACCAAATTTAAAATATTGTCTAGATGAGAAAGTCTGTAGAAGTATCAATGCAAAGACAAAATTTTTCTGTGCTATAGATTTTGAACAACTTCCTAAAGTTACTTGGAAAAATAACAGATGTAGTTTTTAATTCTAAATAAAAAATAAAGCTAATTTATTCAAAAACCAAATTTATATTTTGTCACGTACCCTGTATATATGACTGATGAATTTTGATATATATGATGACTTTTTTCGCAAAACTAATAATACTTTAGTTTTACTTAGGGCTTCAAATGAAGTAGATTCAATGTATATTATCAATAGCAAACATATTAACAAAACACTGTAGTAGGTATTTAATATTAAAATAAATATGTACAATGAAGGAAAACCATATAAAATTAATTTTAAATCATAATAATACTAACGACTCTTCAAAAAGTTAAGTTTTTCTGATTTTGTAGTGCAAAAATATTATCAGAAAATAGGACATTCAATGAGAAATATAAATCTGTTTGTTTAGGACAAAGATTCAAATTTAAATTAGGTGTAAATCAAAAAAATGTTTGTAAGGTTATCAGAGATACAAATTTACAATAATAAGTCCATAGAGTTAAAAAAAGTTGCCAATTAACTGCTAGTTTAATTACTGGATGGCAATTAAAAAACTAACAATATGTAAATGAAAATTTCCTTGGTTGAATCGGTCATTGTTTTTATTTTAAATCGTTTAGCACCACATATGTTTCGGAAATTAATTTTTTTCCATCTTCAGGTGCAGTCAGAATTTAAAAATTTAACAAAAATACACGCTGAAAGAGAAAGATGGGGTTCTGTTATTTTAAAAATGTTTAAACTGTTTGTAATCGTCTCCTTGTGTTTTTTGTTGTTAATTTTAAATTTTGACTGCACCCGATTGAAAATAAATAAAAACAATGACCGATTAAACCAAGAAAATTTTTATTTATATAAAATTCTACTACGTTCAGGAAATTGTCCTTATTCTAATAAAAACAATTTATTTTGTACCTTTGGACTAGAAATATTTAAAAACATTTAATTCAAATAAACTTGTCGTGTTCTTTTTAATTAGTATATACTAGTGTACAACCCTGTATAACTTATATCGTTTAAAATAATTTTTTACTTGCTTTCCAATGATGTATGACCAGTATGGCATTGCGATTTACTTCATTTTTGTTGAGGTAGGTGGCGTGGCAGATACGGGATTGACGAGTTCTGTATTTTGTCATAAAATAGATTTTAAGAATTGCTTGATATTATCTTTAGTTTATGAGATATAGCAATTGAAACTTTTTAAATTATTATATGGTATTATAATACAACAAATTCAGCTTCCAGTTCAATTGTTTCAATGTTTTTGTTACTATTCTTTTATTTGGTTAATGTATTATCTATCTTGACTTGTTTCTTATTCATTATAAAAGTCTTAAATGTTCAAATTTTTCTCCAACCATATCACTTAATTGAATTTTAAATATCTGAACCAGCAGCAACTACTGAACGAAATATGTTACTAATGTAGATAAAATTAAATGTGTCTGTACCCTTATTTATTTCTTTTTATTTTTTATATTTTTATTTTCTATCAAGGTTTAGTGGTTGATTCTGTACGTTATTTTATCGATGTACCGTAAAAATTTTAAATTAGTCGATGAAAAAAGATTAAATTTTAAAAATAAATTAGATTGATCGCTTGCGGCTTTACTTAGCCACCCACCATCATAGCTTTCGTCTGAAGGGTATTACAACTGGTTTACATTTTAATAGTTTAAACAAATATGACAATCATCTTTGTTAATATTTTCGTGTTGTTTTGTATACAAAATTTTATTTTTAATATGCCTTTGTTTAGATAAAGATTCTAAATGTTAGAAAAAATAATTCTTCTCCTTTTTTATATTCTCGAAAATTCGAAATACGTGCCTGTTCCTAAATAAAGCAGCCACATATTGATGATACTTCCGGTACATTAATAAATAAATAAATACCCATTAATTCGTTATTGGGTTTTATGAATAAAAATTAAACAATTGCTTCTATTTAAAAATTGGTAGCAAATCGTACTTAATTAAGCAAAATTGTTAGCTACATTTGGTAAAGGTGCTAAGTATACCAGAAATGTTATTTATTTGAAAAATAATTACTATTTGTGAAATCTGTAGATCGGGCGGATACTAATATTACTTAGGGTTATCTAGAGACAATAATCTACAGGCTTTTTGGCCAGTTTGAGAGACAGTCTCGGGCAACCCATCCTCCCCATCTTACAGATACAGAGATTCTCTATTTGTTACCCATTTTTAAATACAAACTACATATTGTCATTCACGTAAGACTTATTCACAAATTATCGAGACGGTAGCATAGGTGTCTAAGGCGCTCACTTTCATTTGCAAGCGATTTTGTGGTAGAAAGACACTCAGCTTTAAATCCTACAGAAGAGCATGCGCATTTACTGGTTCTCTATATAGGATTTGATGGATGCCATGTTAGCAGAAATTCAATTTTTGTTGATATCACATCCAGATTATAAAAATCATCGTGCGCTACCGTTTCGATGGTGGTAGGTGGGATTTTCCGGGTTTTCCTCGCCTGCAAGTCAAATGGCACCTTCAGTCATCTTTAAGTCGCCCCGGAGCGCCACGGCAAATAATAATAATCATCTCTTCCCTTAAATAAGTCGCTCAGTCAGCTTTAGGGGTTGAAATTCACTCGTTAGGGGGTGAGTTAGGGAGAGTATTATTATTATTATTAAATAAAAATTTTAATTAAAATAAAAAACGTTTAAAATCACTTCAAAACAGTTAAATCCCTAAATCACTCTTGGAATTAACTAAACCACTATATTAAAATTACTCAGGATCTAGTAAAAATGCATAATTAGAACGTTTTTGCAAAGAAGCCGAGTGATATGATAAACAAAACACAGCCGTACTTAAAAGGCTTAGAAATGTGTTTATTTTATGGAATTGTATGCTTAAAACGAAGAAACCACTTACGAAACACTCTGTATAGCTTTAGAAACGGTAAATTGGATTATTTTAGATGTATTAAGAAGTTGGACCTTTGTCCTTGTCAACCTCAACCTTTTCAGATCTATTGTGGGTTTTTTTATTGAACTTAATAGTTTTGACACTGGTTCCCGCACTGCTATTGGTTTTTCTTCGCCTAGTGTTGGAAACCTCAATCTAGCCATGTCTTCACACTGCCACAGAATCTGGATTTGGATTAATGTTTTCTCTTCTTGTTCTTCATTTTTTTTTTAGATTTATAGCCTAGGTGTATGAACGTAATACACCACTCTCAGTTTGTGTTTTGAATTCTTATTCATGTGTGTCCTGTAGGCTTTGTTACTGTTTCCCAGCGCCACTTAAGGAACAGCACTGTCAATAAGAACCCAACAATGGTTGGTCGAGTGGGGAAATAAAATTAATATTTAATTTTATTTTGAATCTGCAAAATGTTGCTTCTTCTGTTGGATAGATGACACTCACGTGTCTTTTTAGGCGATAATATCCAGTAAGAAAACCTACTGCTATCCTAACGATTTCGTTTACTTGGCTGACGATTCCTTAACTCTTTGGTCAGTTTTAATCCTGGATAATTTTTATACTACAATTCCTGAAACTCTTTTTCTTTATCTTTATCGGTTGTAAGTAGGTAGATTTAGGTTTGGCCCAGAACACTGCGGCCTCTTGGGTCTATTGTATTCCCCTGCTTTTACCGTACTCAGGTACTATCTTTGGAATAGTCCTGTGTCTTTGGTTAGTTTTAATAGGTTCACTACCAAGTGTTCCTGGGGCGTTCTTTCCGGTTCCAGGCCGAAAAGGATGAAACGTCGCATAGTAAGAGCTTCACATTCGAAGATCACATGGTATGAGATTCCTTTCCCTTCCATGCAGAGTCTACACGTAGTGGGATCATTGTGTAATCCCATCACATGAAGGCGTTTCAGCAAGCAGTACCCCGTTAGTAATCCCACAATGAGTGGGTTTGGTTCCCTTAGCATGAGCTTACTGATTATGTGCCCTCTTATCTGTTGCCAGTGAATTTGGTGTTTTGTGGTTATCCAACTGTTCACTGCCTGTCGAGCAGAGGTTTTGCTTATCCCAAATACAGGTTCGGGTCCTGTGAATGGTAGATCTGATCCCTCTTTGGCGAGTTCATCAGCCTTTTCATTTCCTTGGATACCTTTGTACCCTGGTACCCACGCTAGTTTTACCTTGTTGTGGGTTGCCAGATCATTTAGTATTCCAAGGCAGTTCCAGACAAGCTTTGACTTGATTCTGTTTGAATCTGAGAGAATTAGGATGGTTTGTTTTTTGTACTTCCTTCTTAAATATTCTCGTATACACAATTCGATGACATGTATTTTAACCTAAAATACAGTGGCATGTTTTTCCAGTGAGACGATGATGTCGCATTTGGGTTTAACTCCATGTACGCCAGAGCCTGTTCCCTTGTTAGTTTTAGATCCATCCGCATACCATACGAGACCGCTGC